TTAGATGATAACATATTGACCTCATCTCTCTCCTTAACATTTAACTTGCCCTTTTCTTTATGACAATCTTTTATGAAATGCCCTGTGTTTCCACGGTCATAGCATTTTCTAGCCTTCGTCCTAGATTTTGATCTAGGTCTACCCTTGCCCTTCTTTTTCCATCCATTGCCACTTGACTCACCATCACTTTGATATCCATCATGACTATTTTGCCTAAATTGAGTTCTACCCCGCATCATATGTAATTCACTGCTCCTCTTATTGTGTTTTTCAGCTCTAATTTCCAATTCCTACTCCTAACGGAGTCTATGACAATTTTAGGTGTCAACGTACCTCTGTCATACTTAATAGCGTTCTTAACTTCCTTATAGGAACCAGGAATTGCATTGAGCAAAATTATAGCCTTATAAGTTTCGGACACAACCTCATCACAATTAACTATATCTTCTACCAACTTTTTAAATACGTCTAAATTGTCATCGAGATCTTTTGAAGGATCCATTTTAAAACTGAAAAAACTAAAAAGGCTATAGTTCTACCCAACCAACACCTAGAGGGGGGTGAATAGGTGTCTATGCGGAATTTAACAATTTAATTAAGTTATGCAACAAGTCACATAAATTAAACGTTGTCCAGATTCATTCACATGATTTAACTACCTATATTGAATTGCCGGCTGAATTGAAATTGACAGAAAGCAATAAATAACACAAAAATTGTTGACAGAGAAAACCCAACCGGGTAAAAACTCTGGGCACAAGCCAGTAGGGATTCACTATAGAAGACTCCAACTTAAAGTACACCAGACATGACTGTATCTAACAACATTCTGACCTCCTTACTGTATCAACCAAAGCTCTCTTGGATTCTGCAGATCTGCGCCAAAATCCCAGCCTTGTATTTCTTCTATTTCCCGTGAATCAACAAGAACTTCAGTTCTTCAATCAACCTCCTTCCCGAATCTTCAATCAACTGATCTTCTGGAAGTAGTGAGAATTTTTGATAGGTGTTTTATTTGAAAAGGTGTTTGATGTTTTTTTTTTCTTCAATGAATCATATGGTGAAGAGTTTTGCAATTGATCCTTTGGTAGAGAGGAAAATATTGTGCTATGTGCTTTGCCAAAGGTTGTTAATGAAAAGCGAAATTTTTGTTTATATAGTAGGTCGTTTTTGGTAGTATGGAGCGTTTAGAATTCGCGAGGAAGGAAAATTACCAAACGCCGGATGACACTGTCGCTCGAGCGAAGTGCCGACGAAACTCTAGCGATGCACTCTCGCTTGAGCGAAGTGGTGGCGAAACTCCAGCGACGCAGATTCTGTTATTTAGGCTCGAGCGAGGTCAGGGCGAAACTCTAGCACCAATCTTACACCGTTTTCATCTTCAAAGCATTCAACTTTACCCTAGATCTATACATTAATTATTGCGAAATTGCAACACAAGTTTCTGAACTTTTAGACATTGACAAATTGGTCCTTGACTTTACAAACTCGACAAATTAGTCATTTTGGTCACAGATTGCCAATTACAATATTTTCCTAACAAACTCCCCCTTTGGCATTCTGTGACAAAATTGCCCAAGACAGTCAAGGACAAAATCGCCGACTGTTGCTGAAGGAGATGATTGCCGCTGCTAAAGATTGAAGGAGATGAAAAGGTTAGTAGATTTTTTTTTTCTTTTAAGTAGTGGGCCTTTGTTTTAGGCCTGTTTTTGGATTTTAAAACAATTGGGCCAAAGGCTTGTTGGCTGCCCCCCCCCCCCTTTTTTAATTCATACATACCCTAATGAGTATCTTCCTCCTCATTTCCAGCCAAGTGCTAATTGTGAACAGTGGTTGTGACCTTCAAGGACCGTGAGCCTCTGCCGCTGGTGCTGTGAGCCTCTCTTCTCTTTTTCCCTTTTTTTTCGTTTTTATTTTTTTAAGTTCATTTTCATGCCTTTCTCCTTTAGAACATAAAGTCTTGAAGTGATATTTTATATGTCTCTATCATTTAATTGATGATTCAGTATGTGAATTGTGATGATTTATAATTTATGAAAACTAAAAAATCTGTGAAATTGTAAATCTGTGGACTATGATTTGTGAGGGCAATTTGTGAAATTGTGAATATGTAGAGAAAGATTTTTGAAAAAAGAATTTTTGTGAGGGGAGTTTGTATATGATTTTTATGTTATATTATGTTTATATATGGATTGAAAATTTTTAATATTATCTAATAAATATTAATAAACTATCTCGCTACGACGGACACTGACGGTTGATCTAGCTCATCGGATCAAGCACTAGTCTCGCTCCCACTGTATTTTAATATTGGGTTCATAATACACTATTGAATTTTGTAATTACGTTCACTTTTGTGGGCCTAATTTACAAAAGGGAAAAATTCATTTGTAAGAGTTTATTTATAGCCTACTTCAAAATTAAGAGGAGAAGGTTTGCAATTTCAAATTTCAAATACTATTAATGAAATAATTGAATAAAAAAATATTTTATTAATTAAACGTATTAAGGCCACAAATCTATATATTTGGTCACAACTTATCAAGTTAATTGGTTACAAAATTATTTATAAGTTAATTGATGTCTCTTAATGAGATATCAGTGCATGAATTGGTACTAGAAATGTAGAACCTTAGCTGTGTGAGTCTTTCTAGAATGATGTATTGAGGTCGAAAGATTTTGAGCTCCCACGTATTCATGTATGTCCACTTCAAGAATGGATTTAGCCAAAATCCTTCTTGTGGTTGAAAATTATATTCTACTTCATGCAAATGTAGAGAAGAATGGAGTGGGAGAGAAATGCAGAGACGTTTTAATGGTTGCTATTAAATTTATCTTTCATATACAATTTAAATTTATCTTTAACAATTAATTGGTTGTCGTGGTTGCTGTTAAATTTTGATTTCAGAATTGTGAGTTGTGATAGTGGAATTCTCAAAGTGCCACATTGTGTCATTTCATAATTTTTGCTCAATTCATATTTTTCAGTTAAGCAATGGCTTGCCCCTGCTTATTTATAAACTATTAAACATATAGGAAATGTTCGAAGCCTTGTCGGCTTATATATTGCATTGTAGTATTGCACTCTTATCGAATTATATTGACTTTTGTTAGATTTAATCGTAGGATCAATTGTTTGAGCCCCTTTTTGGTATAGAATGCATTTTGGAGTAGTAGACAATTTTATTTTATTTTTTTTGTTTTTGTTTTATAGTTAAGTATTAAGTTAACAGTTGGTACCATAATACGCATATATTTTGCATGCAAATTTTTTTTCTTTTTTTGGTGGGGGAGGGGGGCCTAATATTTTAAGTTCGCCTCAGGCCCCCAAAAGCACAGGATAGGCACTGTGCTAGATTATTCAGTACTCTCTTACGAAGCCTCATACCTTCATCCAGATCCCCAATGATATTATCTTTAGGATGATTAGACTTGACCCTAGTTGATGGTTCCTTAGGGATTGTGTCTTGATCTTGTGGATGTGTTTCCTTTTCAGGAGTTTCAGGAATTTTAAAAGATGATTCAGGCACAAGCGGTTCAGTAGGATCACTAGACCTTATAAGATTACCATTTCTATCATAATTTTCAACATTCTTCCCCTCACTCACACCATCATCTATCACAACATTGACTGACTCCATCACAGTACGAGTACGTGAGTTATATACTCGGAATGCTCGACTATTTCTAGAATACTCTAAGAAGATTCCTTCGTCACTCTTAGATTCAAACTTACTCAAGTTCTCTCTATCACGCAAAATGTAGTACTTACTCCCAAACATACGAAAGTATTTGACAGTAGGCTTTTTACCCTTTAGAATCTCATATGGAGTCTAATCGGTTTTGGGTCTAAGGTAGACTCTATTGATTATGTGGCATGTAGTATTAACAGCTTCTCCCCAAAAATATAAGGCTAGCCCCTTGTCATGAAGCATAGCTCTAGCCATGTCCTGAAGGACACGATTCTTCCTTTCAACCACCCCATTTTGTTGAGGAATGATAGGGGAAGAGAACTCATGTAGTATCCCTTCATCCATGCAGAAGCTCTCAAGATTGAAATTTTCAAACTCTTTTCCATGATCACTTCGCATTCTGGACACTTTGTGATTGAGTTCATTACTAAACCGTTTACACAAAGATTTTATAAGGTCACATGCATCAGATTTTTTCCTAAGCAATTCTACCCATGTGAACCTCGAGAAATCATCTACCACAACCAGAATATACCGCTTACCTCCTAGACTCTCAGTCCTAGATGGTCCCATTAAATCAATTTGTATCAATTCCAGAGGTCTTTTGGTTAAAATTTTAGAAGTCTTTTTATGGATTCCTTTAATTTGTTTACCCAGTTGACATGGTCCACACACAACATTTTCACTAGGACCTATTTTAGGCAAACCATCTACCAACTCCTTTTTAGCCAGTTGTACTAGACTCTTATAGTTTAAATGACGCAATCTTTTATGCCAGAGTTCACTCACATCAATTTTTGCACTCCTACACACATAGTTAGAATTAGGTAGGACTCCATAACAGTTATCAGACGTTCTAACCCCTTCAAGGACCACCCCACCGAATGAATCATACAAGGTACATCTCTTTTCCACAAAGCTAACTTCAAAATCAACACAAATCTGACTAATACTTAACAAGTTCGACTTTAAACCTTCCACATAAAGCACATTTGAGATCAAAGGTAATCCATGTATTTGTACAGTACCTTTGCCAAGAATAGGTGCAGAGCGCCCATCTCCAAAGGTAACCATACCTCCATTGCATTCATCAAGAGTAGTGAATAAAACCTTGTTACCACACATATGCCTAGAACAAACACTATCAAGGTACCACATATTGAAATCTTGGGCTTTTAATGCAACATAAGCAACATAGCAATTTACCTAACCTGAAAGTCCAGCTGGATCCTCCTTTTTAACCCAAACTTTCTTAGATGACCTGGTACTCCTAGTCAGCCTAGTAAGCATCTCAGTCAAATGACTAACCTAATTAGTCAGAAAACTGACCTGACTTGGAATATTCTGATTTCTACGCTCATTGCCTAACTTATAACATCTAGGCCTAGTGTGTCCTAGAGCTCCACAGTGGTGACAGGTGGGAATGAACCTAGGCTCAAAGGTACGTGTCTGTGGGTGTTTGGGCATAAAATTTCTACGTGATTGATGACTTTGTTCCCTCGAAACATTCTTACCCTTATTTGGACTGTTGACAGCATTAGACTTCCTAGAGGCAGAAATGAATACAGTTTTAGATGGACCAGCACCATGTGTATTACCCTCAACATATCCTAGACCTTTCCTATCTCCCGTAGGCTTATTCATTCCCAAAATATCATCCAATTTCTTAGTTCCACTTATGAAAATCTGAAGATGAGCATTAGATTTCTCCAATTCACTAGTTAATGTCTTAACCTTGTCTTCCAACTTCTCATTGACACATTTTAACTCACTGACACTCTTAAGTGAATTCTGGAGATTACTAGCATTTCTCTCTTTTTCTCTTTCAAGGTCATCAACCTTTTTGAGTAGAGCTTTACTGATCTTTTTGATTTTAAGACTCTCCTTGAACGAGAGTTGATAGGCCTCATGTATGTCTATGTCATCCTCATCCTCATTACTAGAATTATTATTGTGAAGTTCTTCCTCAACCTCGTCACTCTCCTTATCAGATTCACTCTTAATAGTCGACACAAATGCCATATAGTTCCCTTCATCTTCACTACTAGATGACTCTTGCCTATCACTGGTCTCAGACTCGTTATCAGTAAGTGAAACAACTAAGGCCTTACCCTGCCCTTTTCTTTGATTCTTCTTATAACTAGGGCACTCATTCCTATAGTGACCTATACCTTGACATTCATGGCACCTAACCAAACGTGGTTTATCACCAGAACTTTTATTCTTAAACCTTTCAGTTTTTTCTTTTGAGAATCTGCTAGGGACTCCACTTTTTCTATCCTGAGGCTTTCTCCTATTCTTGAGAGCCTTTTGAAATTTCTTCACAAAGTAAGCAATTTCATCGTCCCTTAGAGACTCAGTATCGTAAGATTCATCTTCTTTGATGGATTTTAAAGCAATGGACTTTCCTTTCTTAGGTTGTGTGATAGTGAGTTCATAAGTTTGCAAGGATCCTATAAGTTCTTCAATTTTAACTTCATCTAGATCCTTACTTTCCTCAATGACAGTAACTTTAGGCCTAAATCTCTTGGGCAAGGACCTAAGTAATTTTCTAATAATTTTAGACTCGGAAATTTTCTCGCCTAAATTGAAACTAGAATTAACAATATCATTCAATTTTGCATAAAATTCATCGAAGGTTTCGTCATCTTTCATCCTCACTTCTTCAAACCTAGAAGCTAGCATTTGTGATTTTGAGTTCTTTATCGTTTTAGTTCCCTCGTGTGTAGTTTTAAGAATATCCCACACCTCTTTAGCAGTTTCGCACATTGACACTCTCCTAAACTCTTCAGGAGACACGGCCATAAATAAGGCATAAAGTCCCTTGATATTCCAATTACACTCAGCTATCTCATCCTTAGTCCACAGTGATATATCAGTAAGGTTAACAGTTCATGATACGATAGTGGAGGGAGGTTTCCAGCCATTTTGCACACTCAACCAAACATGCTCATTTAAGGACTTAAGAAACGCAAGCATTCTAACCTTCCAGCAAGCATAATTACTTCTGTCAAAGTACGGAGGTACAAAAAGTGATTGACTCATCTAGACAACTATGGGTCAGGACTCGAGATTTGGCTCTGATACCACTTGAAAAGGCTATAGTTCGACCCAACCAACACCTAGAGGGGGGGTGAATAGGTGTCTATGCGGAATTTAACAATTTAATTAAGTTATGCAACAAGTCACATAAATTAAATGTTGTCCAGATTCATTCACATGGTTTAACTACCTATGTTGAATTGCCGGTTGAATTGAAATTGACAGAAAGCAATAAATAACACAAAAATTGTTGACGGAGAAAACCCAACCGGGTAAAAACTCCGGGCACAAGCCAGTAGAGATTCACTATAGAAGACTCCAACTTACAGTACGCCAGACATGACTGTGTCTAACAACACTCTGACCTCCTTACTGTATCAACCAAAGCTCTCCTGGATTCTGCAAATTTGCGCCAAAATCCCAGCCTTGTATTTCTTCTATTTCCCGTGAATCAACAAGAACTCCAGTTCTTCAATCAACCTCCTTCCCGGATCTTCAATCAACTGATCTTCTGGAAGTAGTGAGGATTTTTGATAGGTGTTTTGTTTGAAAAGGTGTTTGATGTTTTTTTTTTCTTCAATGAATCATATGGTGAAGAGTTTTGCAATTAATCCTTTGGTAGAGAGGAAAATATTGTGCTATGTGTTTTGCCAAAGGTTGTTAATGAAAAGCGGAATTTTTGTTTATGTAGTAGGTCGTTTTTGGTAGTATGGAGCGTTTAAAATTCGCGAGGAAGGAAAATTACCAAACGCCAGATGACACTGTCGCTCGAGCGAAGTGCCGGTGAAACTCTAGCGACGTACTCTCGCTCGAGCGAAGTGGTGGCAAAACTCCAGCGACGCAGGTTCTGTTATTTAGGCTCGAGCGAGGTCTGAGTGAAACTCTAGCACCAATCTTGCGCCGTTTTCATTTTCAAAGCATCCAACTTTACTCTAGACCTATACATTAATTATTGCGAAATTGCAACACAAGTTTCTGAACTTTTAGATATTGACAAATTGGTCCTTGACTTTACAAACTCGACAAATTAGTCCTTTGGTCACAGATTGTCAATTACAACATTTTCCTAACAAAAACGTTCAAGCAAGTAAAGTTTATTCGGTGTAGACTTGAACAAGTATAAGTCTTTTAATTTTTTCTAAAGTTCTTTGGTGGTTTTCAATTTACCCACCTTTCTTAAAACGACGTCAGACAAGTGTAAAATGATTGAGGTGTAAGCAAGCTCATCTGCTTTTTCTCTTTGTTTTTTTGAAAAATCAGTTGAAAAATTGCCTTCAATGGCTTTTGGAACTTTTTGTTGGACTAAAATGTCCTTCATTTTTTGTTGCCAGATAGAAAAATCACCCTTTCCGTTAAAAATTCTCAAAAATCAAAGTTGTGAGTTGTCATCTTTACACAATAGTCAAAGAGTGCACAAAACACAATCAAACCACACAAAGTAGTCCTAGAGTTTTAGACAATATACGTCGTTCTAGATTCCCAGGATTTCGTAAGACTCGCGGTCTTAGGTCAACAGAATGTTTGAAACGGGTGAGTTCAAGGTAGTTCTAACGGAATTAAGCAACGGAAGAAACAATGCAATAGAAAACCACGTCTAACAGATAATTAGTTTCACGACAGTTATATCACTAAGACTTAAACACTGATTTAACTAAAAGACAAATACTCAATCAAATAATCAAGAGCACGTAACCCTAATTTCTAGCACAAGCAATGGTTGCCAAGCAATAGCAAACCCCAAACCTAATTATCACCCCACAAGATGATCTACTAGTGCAAAAATATAAAGGTTTTAACCAATTTACTAGAGCGGACCTATCTGAGTCCGTAACATGGAGAGATGCAAATTTGCTGCTTTAGGGTCACCACTATTCACCCTAAAGATTCAGCAAATGTAACAGTTCCAATCAGCAGCAAATGCATATTGAAGGCAGGGACAAAATCGTCCAAGTTTTTCTGCGCAACCTGAAATACTAAACCAAACACATCAAAACGTTCAGGAGAATTAAATAAACGAAATGGTAGAAAAAATCACACTGCAGGGCCTTCCACACGCCGCCATCGTCACCACCACGCGCCACCTCACAGGGGGCACCTTGACCTGCTGGTTATGGGTCCGAAGTTCGTTTGTCCAAAAGAGATTCGGTTTGGGAGTAATCGAGGGATTTAGGGTTCGGTCACTTTGACGGAACCCGCCTCTCTCTTGAATTTTTGGACCGATTTAACAGAAATTAGAGCTCCAGGCTCTGATACCAGATGTAGGGGAGAGCAATTATCAACCACCAAGGCGATATATAGTCTCTGTTCACTAACAAACCAAATCAATACCAAAGAAAACAACTCAAGAACACCACAAAGGTTTCACCTATGGTTGCTAAGCTTTTACCACTTCAAGAACACCACAAAGGAGGGAAATATCACCAAGATATATGCCTTAAACAGAATGGCAGAAGATGGAGACAGAGAGGTTGAGAGAAATCACACAGGAAAGAGAAAGAGACACCAAGTCCTTTTTCATACATAGTGGCATGAAGAAAAAGGGGAATATATTAGACCAAGTCACATAATATGGTAAGTTAGATTTTAGGTAATGGGTAAAGGTCCCATTAGGGGAAAATCCAGGATATTAAGCCAGCACGGACGGCCGTAATAAAATATTAAGGGCTCGTTTGATGTCATTTTTTGCAAAAAAAAAAAATGCATTTTGAAATAGTGATTTAATGGAGAATGTGTAGTTAAAAATAATAAAAAATTTTGAATTTACGTGTAATATAATTTATTAAAGAATATTCGATCGAAAATAAGGGGAAAAAATGTATTCTGAACTAAATGAGAATCAAATAAGGCTTAAAATTTAAATAAAATAATTATTTTGTTGAAATTGAACATATATAATTTTGTTATAAGAATAAATCGTACTCACCAAATAACATTATTGCCTTGTACAATTCAAAGGGAGAGCACGGTGTTAGAATTTTTACAATTGCATTAAAACCACTAAAATCTTACATATATTATTTTGTTAAACTTTGTATCACAACTCATCAAGTGTCATAATAGTCAAACTTTCATTATATCTTAGAATAGCTCACAGGTTCGATTCCCTAGTGGCTCTTTCCTTATTTCAATGGTTTTTGGTAAAAATTGTATATCTAAAAATTTATACAATAAATTGCTGGACATAATCGAACCTAGGACATCAAAGAAACACATGCAAGAGCTAACCAACTTGACTAGAAGGAACGACTCAAAGAAAAATGACTTACCAGTAATATATCCTATATATTTGTCTATTCTCAACCAAAAAAAAAATGTCTCCCAACGGATCCAGCACGCGCGGCCGCGAGGGCTTCCCGAGTGCTGGATCCGCCAGTGGGTCCAATACCATATAAGTGGACAATAGTGTGGACCTAAAAATTAGCTAACCATCCAAATAAGTGAAAACATAGCCCATGAGCAACACAACTTAATTGGTTGCTTCAAATGGACCAATCTCTTCTTGGGTCGGGTCGTTAAAATTTGGTATCAATTTATTGCTTAGTCATATCGCAATCGTCGATTGATATTAATAAACGGTTTACATCATCGTCCGAGAGGTCATTTGACAACAATATGTCCAACAATTATATCCTCAACGTTAGGAGATCTTAACTCCCCTTTTACATATGCTTTGCTAGTCAACGTTAATGGATGAGTAATTCTATCTAGCATTTAATGTCGCATACACATTGTACTATACATTATTACTCTCAACTGTGTATAAACTTGTGTGTGAAGCGTACATTTGTGTTATTAGTTAATATAATGTTCCACAAGACTTATCGCACGCCACAAATTATAATTATGAGACTTGTATTAAGCACTGATCTAGCAAATGACTGAGCTATTGGGTCAGTGATTGAACTAGTGGGTTAACATTTTTAAAATATGATAAAAATTATTTAGATTATATAAAAGACATACTGTTTTTACTAAGCTAATCGTTCATTTTTTTTTTAATCAATATGTACTCCAAAACTCAAAAGGAAATGAGAATTTTTCAAGATGAAGTAAAAAATAACTATCTTGATAAAAACAATTGGCATTGAAAAAGTAAAACCCGAGCAAAAAATAGCTAGCAACCATTAAAATTCTGTTTAAAAAGCAAAATTAACTTGCGACGTTAATGGGATTGGATCAGCCATTTTTTTTAGGAAAATCCAATTAGCTTTCCAAAATTTTCCGCATTAATCGCAGACCGATCTAGTGGAGTGACCAGACCAAATTGATGGTCATGTCCCGAATTTCTCGTTAAGAATACTTTATTGAGAAAGTATGAATAAAATTCCACATCAATTAGGATTATACATCAGAATGACGAACTTATAAAAGATTATATCCGTGTAAAAGCTTCTTCATCAAAGAACGCAAAGGATTGATCATTGATCGACTCCACAGACTCCGTTGAATCCCAAGAAAAGATTAAAGAACGAGATGCGATAAATCAAGCAAGCAAAATATGAAAATATCATTACTTGTATGAATCTATCAAGCATTCAGTCATGAACATCAACATCCACCTTCAGAACCTATTACCTAATGGACAGCCGACGCCATTTATATAGTCATTCCGGGTCTTAAATAAGCAACAGCCAGGTTCAAACGCCTTAGGGTGCATTCTCCGGTAACAACTTAGGTGGAAGAAAGAAATAAGCTGCTCAGAAATTATTCTTTTGTACACAAATTCACTGGAACAAAGTCTCCAACATTACAGAATCTTCACACTAGTGAATTACTATCGGTATGGATCTATAAACAAGCCATCAGAATTTCTGCAAAACCAGAACGGCCATCACATTATGATGCAACAACTCCTTTTCTCAGAAGGTTGTGCTGCAGCTTGCTGGTACCTATGTGACTCAGATGGGTTGTATGTGAATTCTGAAGTATCCAGCCCATACTGTTATAAACATAGAAATAAAATCAGAACATGAGAAACTCAATTAAATGCATCATAAATAATGTAAATACCATTAGCTAGTTATCATCCACCAACTTGTTAACCATATGCCAAATAGAACCTCAGATAGTTACGCAGAAATCCTAGACTCATTGTCATCTTAAGAATTAAGATGCTTGTACAGGGGAAATGTACAGGGATTTTTACAGATGTACAGGTAGCAACATTGTATTGGCTGGTTGAATAGTGTTTTTTGTCCAACACCCAATTGAATCTAGACAGTTGGCAATCTATCAAAAAAGTTGTCAATACATGCATTTTTATTAGGGTTGAACAAGAACTTGCCACTTAATGCTAAAAAACTCATTTTATGCCATCTCTCCATGGACTACAATCATCGTTCCGTCTCCTCTATGCTCCCTACTATCTCCTTCACCAGCCATAATCTAGGCATTAACTTATGTTGATTGAGGTTTCAAATCTTAAATCTTTGCACCCCAAAAACAAATTGGAAATAAGTGAAGTAAAAGTTGGTTGGTTGTAAAAGAATGAGTATGAAGTGATGATCTCAGCAAAATAAGCAAGCAAATTTTGGAACTTGGTATATCCTAAAAGGGGTGGGGGGGGGGGGTTCAAAAAGGTAGTTTTTGGTAGTTGTGGCAGTTATGTTAGTAAAGCCTGGAAAGAATAGTGGTAAATAGCTTCCAATTTTGATCCTCTTTCATTGTGGTTGCGGAGTAATATACATCTATGGGTATAGATATCATTTACTTGGTTCAATACAGTTTATATCATGATTTATTTCAAAATTCATTTTCCCAATTTATAATCTTCATTGTCTCCTACTTCCGCCAAAATCTCTGCTACTGTTCCAACGAATGGATTACAAATAAAATATATATTTTTCAATGCAAAGGATGAAAATAATTAGCACACAGTGCACCTTTTTCCTCATGCGTTCACTCCAAGCATCATTCCTACTTGGACGCTGATCAAGGGTACCAGAAACGGGGACACCGGTTGCAGGATCAGCTTTCCTGTTGAGCAATGGCTTCCGGGTTTGTCGTTTTGAACCTTCTGACTCATCATCACTATCATAATCATAATTTGCTGGTCTGTTGATAGTCCTCACGACAAGCGCTAACAAAAATACAAGAGCCTGCAGTTTAATATGCAGGTTTGTGAATGAAACTGTTAAGTAGACAGGAAGAAACACAATAAGTTTCTCCTGTTTAGCTTTACCTGTCAAATCCTTGTGTGAATTAAGGTCAATCTGTTTTTACCTTTCATGTAAATAGTTGGAATGGAGACAGCTTTTATTGATTATATAGATCTTTTTCCCTTTCCCCACTCTTTTTTTTTTTTTTTTTTTGACTAGAGACACTTGAATAGCCCTGAATTTAATTTGGTGGCTGGTTTGATTGCGCTAAATTTGACGAGCTTGCATGATTCATGAAACGAAAGATGTTAATATGTAGCAAGTGATTGCAATAAATCAATGTTGATGACAATAATAAAGTAAAATACGTCAAAGGGCCCTTACCTCCAAAATAACAGCACCAAGAGCAACCCATCTGATAATTTTCCAGTGCTTATCCATAAATTCATAGATCATATCAAAACTTCTAGTTTTGTCAGTTGGAATTTCCTGAGAGACATATTTGTCGTAATCAGATTCACAAACTTATATTTTTGTAAATTGACCGCATCAGTTTTAAAATACTTGCCTCCTTCCAGCTTTTGTCAAAGAATATAAAAGCAGCACATCCCAGTTCCACCAAGATCAACAAGATCACAAATATTGAATACTTCATTACGTTAAGGAACCCGATCATCATCATGAAGAAAAGACATATATCAATGAAGATGTCAAACTATAGCCATCCAATATGGTTCCCAAAAAATGCAATTTGTTAGTTGGAACTGACTCTGCCAGGCTAAAATAGCATCTTTGCTCAAGGTGGCTGCTATCAGACAGCATTTACATGCTTAAGATTGAAAGTCTGCTAATTTACCTAGAAAAATCAGAAGCCTGAGAAAAGTAAGGCCTCATTGTTCATGATGAAATCCCCTTTTGCATTAGGACAGCAATTTAATTACCAAATTATATAAAGTTAAACAACATTGCCATCATAAGTCCCATTTACATTTACTTGCATACAATCAAGTAACATAATCCTTCCATCATTTTTGTTTTTTTGTTTCTTTTCTTTTACCACGTTGAGAGCTGAAAATTTTGTTCCATCTTTTACTTACGAAATCATCTTAATAGGAAGGATACACAAGTCAGGCAGCAACCGTTCCGCAGAGTGGCACCAATGCAACCACAACAAGAAATGACGAAAAGAACTACACCAATTCCTATAAATAAATATATGAACCTGCACAGAGCAAATGTGATTGTTGACAATCATCAACGGGGAAAAACATTAGTTAACAAATGAGGAAATAGTTGGTGACGTTGCTTTCTTTCTACTCTAGTGCGCTGAGAAGAGCAGCTGACCAATGTATCCAGTGATTCTTACTTCAATCCAAGCATTGGATCTCCTGTCTCATCTCAATTAAGTGGTCAAGTCCTATCTACTTAACAGATTAATATGCCATCAGACTATGCAAAGCATAAATTAACTACAAGGCAAAATGAAAGACGCTTAATGCATAAAGCAGTTATTGCACCACAAATATCGGATTGCCAGCTTTTATCATCCTCACATGTAGGAATTTGATTTTTCAGTTGATAATGTATAGTGCTCAAGACAGCTCTCCAGGACCTATATTAATTTGGTCTAAGCATTGGCTATTCCCTCCCAAATTTACACCACATTATTCCCATATGGTTCTCAGCTTCCGTTCAAAACCAAAAGACAACTCCTTCCCTCCCATGTCGTGGTCACCTTAAGCCTAGAAGGGGATACTTATTACATGGATAGATAACTAAAATATAGGAAAAGGACCAATCAACAGGCATAAAGTGCACCATAGTATATAACCATCTTTAAACTCTTTATGCCTATAGATTTGCATCAATATGCTTTATAATTTTCATTACTTAAAATAATTATTCGACTTCACAATGTGAAAATTGTAAATATGACCGAGTCTTTGACAAAGAGCTATCTGAAGCACCGGACATTTATTAGAAGGCAAGGTCGTAAGGTCAAGCAAAGGCCTATCTAGAATCAGACGTGAAATTAAGAAGTGTTTATGTTTCTTGACCTTACCTAATCAACAAGCACAATAACAGGGACAAATCGAGGAACGACACTTCATGTTCTAAAATCCTAAGAAACAAAAGTTGGACCACGTTCCAAAGAAATTAGACACAGGGATAACCATTCTGCCATCAAGAGGTCATGTTTGACCTTATGCCCCTGTTTGGTGGCCATTTTTTCGAAAAAAAAAATTGTTTTGAATAGTGAATTTCTGAAGAATGTGTGGTTAAAAAGTAGGGAAAAATTTTTAATTTCAATGTAGAATATTTTATTGTATGAATGTGTAGTAAAAAATGAGTATGTAGAAAAAAGAGTTTTGAAAGAATGGGAGACCAACAAGGG